TCCCAATTAGAAGAATCTGTGTATGGAAATGACTTGATGATTCAGTTTAGTCATATTTTATGGGGGAAAATTTACAAAGAACACAATTGCTCCTCTTACAAATATTGTATTGAGTAAATTGAGTCTCTCATTTAGATTCCATTATATATAATCAGATTAAGTTCACGTGTTTGTTTAGGCGAAAAATTACGAACTCAGTTGCTCCTCTTACAAATGAATATTGCATTGAGTAAATTCAGTCTCTCATTTAGATTTCATATATATAATCAGATTAAGTTTACGTGTTTGTTTAGGCGAAAAATATCAAAGAACTTAATTGCTCCTGTTACAAATATTTTATTGAGTAAATTCAGTCTCTCATTTAGATTTCATATATATAATCGGATTAAGTTCACGTGTTTGTTTAGGCGAAAAATCACGATCTCAATTGCTCCTCTTACAAATTACTATTGTATTGAGTAAATTCAGTCTCTCATTCAGATTCCATAATAATCAGATTAAGTTTATGTGTTTGTTTAGGCGAAAAATATCGAAGAACTCAATTGCTCCTGTTACAAATATTTTATTGACTAAATTCAGTCTCTCATTTAGATACTACTAGTACAGATCCCGTGCGATGCACGGGGTGGACAATTTTAAGATCATTTACCCAAATTTATTATTATATTCGTGAATAAAGAAAATTAAATATATAATAATAAAAAAAACTATTACATATTATTAAAAACAATATTGTAGACAAAATTTTTTGCATTGTAGGCACATCATTATACTTAATTAAAATCGCCATCACATACCTCGAGTCCAGTAATATATAATCAGATTAAGTTTTACGAGTTTGTTTAGGCGAAAAATAACGAAGAACTCAATTGCTTCTCTTAAAATATTATATTGAGTAAATTCAGTCTCTCATTTAGATTCCATATATATAATCGGATTAAGTTCACGTGTTTGTTTAGGCAAAAAATCATGATCTCAATTGCTCCTCTTACAAATTACTATTGTATTGAGTAAATTCAGTCTCTCATTCAGATTCCATAATAATCAGATTAAGTTTATGTGTTTGTTTAGGCGAAAAATATCGAAGAACTCAATTGCTCATGTTACAAATATTTTATTGACTAAATTTAGTCTCTCATTTAGATACTACTAGTACAGATCCCGTGCGATGCACGGGGTGGACAATTTTAAGATCATTTACCCAAATTTATTATTATATTCGTGAATAAAGAAAATTAAATATATAATACTAAAAAAAACTATTACATATTATTAAAAACAATATTGTAGACAAAATTTTTTGCATTGTAGGCACATCATTATACTTAATTAAAATCGCCATCACATACCTCGAGTCCAGTAATATATAATCAGATTAACTTTTACGAGTTTGTTTAGGCGAAAAATAACGAAGAACTCAATTGCTTCTCTTAAAATATTATATTGAGTAAATTCAGTCTCTCATTTAGATTCCATATATATAATCGGATTAAGTTCACGTGTTTGTTTAGGCGAAAAATCACGATCTCAATTGCTCCTCTTACAAATTACTATTGTATTGAGTAAATTCAGTCTCTCATTCAGATTCCATATATATAATCAGATTAAGTTTATTTGTTTGTTTAGGCGAAAAATATCGAAGAACTCAATTGCTCCTGTTACAAATATTTTATTGACTACATTCAGTCTCTCATTTAGATACTACTAGTACAGATCCCGTGCGATGCACGGGGTGGACAATTTTAAGATCATTTACCCAAATTTATTATTATATTCGTGAATAAAGAAAATTAAATATATAATACTAAAAAAAACTATTACATATTATTAAAAACAATATTGTAGACAAAAATTTTTGCATTGTAGGCACATCAATATACTTAATTAAAATCGTCATCACATACCTCGGGTCCAGTAAAATCACCATCAAAATAACTATTTATAACAGCACATTATAACAAACACAATTCAAATTTTATCCAGTAAATAGGATTAATTAAATTCGACTAACATTATATCAAAATTAGATTTATTAATAACAATAAAATCGCCCACTTTTTACCATAAAATCACCAACTTTATTACTAAAATCAAATTTATTAATTTTACAGATTTATTTAATAAATAATCAATTAATTTTTAAATATAATAAATATTTTTTTTTAGGAAAACTATTACTATTTTAAAAATAATCAAAACTTTTTAGATTAGAAACATGGCAGACACTTCTTATTTTTTGTCCGTCTTTATTTGTTAAATCGATCCATTTTAATTGAAGCACGCAATTTAAAATTCACTTTCTACATAGAAATAATATTCGGCGCATAGTATTTTGAATTTTTACTAATAGTATTATAAGTTAAAGATTGCATCAAAATCATGATAAGTAAACCAAATAAATACGTGATGTTAAACTATAAAATCAATGAATCCTCAATAAACTATTATCTATGCCATAATTAATTCAAGACACACCCATTTATAGATATATTGTATTCCTACTTAGAATGATTTAGTTATATTTACTTATCATTAGTATTGAGTTTCTGTATCAAATACATTATTCATTGCTTATATTATATACTAAATTTAAACCATGCAATTATTTAACAAAGGTAATAGTCACAATATTTGACTAAAATAATTTTGTACATTAATTAGATTGATTTTTTAATTTGAATTTCAAATAATTTCCTCCACTTTTTAAAAAAATTTAAAAAAATTACTAATAAAGATAAAATTAATTTTTTTTTGTGGAATTTTAGCTATTATTTCAAGTAAATACAGATCTTTTTATATAGATATAGATATATAAATGTAAATATAAAATAAATCATTCATATCCTTTCTTTAATTAAATTATTTCGTATCAAACATTCTTTAATTAAAATATCTTGTATTAACTTTTGTAGGATGTAATTGTGATTAAATATTATAGATTTGGTTGCTCTACAATTGTGTAGGGAATTTCGAGGATAATGACCAAAATCTCGACATAAGATTAATATACATGTGATTTGTCAAAATAAATCTGTTCAAATTTGGGTCACATATCTGATCAAAATTATATTATTATGTAAATTGGTTAAATATATTTATTTTCTTTCATTTGTTATATAAGAGCAATATTGGAACAAAAATCTCGGAAAAATTCTATGAGCGGTATTTCAATTAAAATATTTTTGATTCTTGCCCCAGACTCGACACCGCCCACAATTGTTGACCATTCAATTCAAATATTGATTTTTCTTTAGTGTAAAATTTTAAAAAAGAACGCCATTTTTCATTTTTTTTAAATTACGAATAAAAGTAAAAAAGATATTTTTTGACGGGATTTCAGCTGCTTTTTCCGATAAATGTCTAACCTTTTTATATAGATATAGATAGATTTAGTTAAATCATAAATTTTTTGGGCTCGTCCTTTTCCTCCGATTTCCGATCATCACCCGTAGCTTTTCCTCCGGCATGCACATCCCGAGATCCTCTAGCGAATAGCTGAGCTCCTCCCGGCTGATGTTGCCGTCGCCGTTCATCGAGCATGGAGGAGACCCAATGAAGCTCAGTCGTGCACATCTCCTCTTGTGAAACCTAATTGCAAAACTGGTTGGATTTAATTTTGATCCGTCCATATAAGTTTTTACCCAATAATTTTTGGCTAAAAGACACATCTTGCTTTTTTCAAAATTTTTTCCTAAACCATCTAAACTACTTCCACTTATGTATCCAAAAGCCTTTTTTATTTGAAAATTATAATCATTATCTTTTATGAATTCTTTTACATTATTTTCTATTTACCCTAAGTTTATTATATTATCTTTATATTTTATTAAAAATTAATTTGAATTTCTAGTTAATTTAAGTTTCTTATCTAATTATTTACTAAATCATAAAAAATTAAATAGACAAAAAAAAAAATACAAAAAAATAAGTTGATTATAAACCATAGATAAACAAAAAAAAAATTAAATTCAATAACTAAAAAATCAACTCAAGATAAACATCAAATTAACCTCTTGACAACACTACATTCAAATATTTTTTTTTTTAAAAAAAATTTAACAAAATCAACTAAGATAAACATCATATAAACACAAAACTACTTTCAAGGAACTTCCAAATTAACTCGAAANATTAAAATTTGCGAAACTCTAAATCACTAACCCACACCTCGAGACGGAGAACGGTGCAGGGGGCGGTAGAAGGTAGCTGGAGAGGGAGAGGATCTCGAAGAGAGGACGACGATGGCGGCGATTCCGATGGCGCTGGGATGCAGACTCTCCGCTGGCGAAGAGAACCACCCCACGGCCAGAAAGGCGGAGCCCGAAGGAGAAGGTCGCACATCACAGATCCAATCCATGGTCGGAGGAGTAGAGCAAGCCGCGGTCGGCAGTTGGAGAGGTGGGGCGCCGAGTCTTGAGATTTGCTCCTGGATAGGGAGAATTAAAGCCGAGGAGGAATTGGGTCTGTTGGTGTTCTTAGGCTTTGGAATGCTCGTAAAACTTGGGAGAGAAAGTTAAGAATGATAATGAAAACACTAGTGCAAAACCCATGCGTTGCACGGAATGTAAAATTTTGGAGAATAATAAAATATGGCATGAATTAGGATCGAAATAATTATAATACGTAGGAACATTATTCCAAAAAAAGGATTGTTTCGTCATGAAA